TGCCCCCAATTTTTTTTTTTTTACCCATGGTTGGGTAACCCCCCCCCCCCCCCCCCTTTTTTTCTTTTTTGAGTAAAAGGGGGGGGGGTTTTTCCCCTTTTTTTTAAAAAAAGCCACCCACCCGGGGTTTGGGCCCCCCCTTTTTTTTTAAAACCCCCCTTTGCCTGGAAAACCCAACCCCCCCCCGGGGGGGGGGGGGGGTGTTTTAAAAATTCGGGTTTTTTGGGGGGCCCGGTTAAAGTTTTTAAGGTTTCCGCCTCCCCGGTTTTTTGGCAAAACCCCCCCCCCCGTTTGGGGGGGGGGGGGTAAAGGTTTTAAAATTTAGGGATTTTTAAAAAAGGGGGTCCCCCCCCCCCCCCCCCCCCCCCCCGGCAATGCGTACAAACAAGGTGACGAAGAGCAGTTACACCGGGGATGAAGACTTTTCTGCGGCAGACCAAGTGACCGAGGAGCTGGGGGAGGACGGCGAAGCCAGCACGTCTGTTACGCTAGCTACTCTGGGAGCGATCTTGAGGGAACGCGCGAGCGCGGCCTCCTCGTAAAACCGCAGCAAGCAACAACCGAGGCTCTCCAAAAATCAAACGTTGTTGTTTCTTCAGAAACGTGTAGAATCCGCTGTTCGCAGCATAGAGGCTTTGTGTGTGCTGCCGGCTGCTTTTCTGCGCAAGATATGTCCCACGGGTCCCACGGCGCTGGTTTCGCCATTTCTCAAGACTTCGGGGTTTCTATATCGTGTCCTCTTTCGCAAACCTCTGTCGGGGTGTCCTTTTCCACACACACATACCCCGGCGTGTTCCCAGAAGAGATTGCGGTATACACGAACAGCAGTCGTTGGTATTGGAAAGAGGTGACATTGGTGGGTTGGGTGTGCCGCGCTACAGAGAGAGCTCCTCTGGGGGTGTGGCCAGACCGCAGCATACGTTTGCGGACACAAGATGCGGCAGTTGTTGTGCGGATCTTTTGCTTCGCCTCTTGGGTTGTTGAAAACTCTCGCGGAAACCTGCGGGCCGGCTGAGAGCGATAAACGGGCCCACGCCTTTGCAAACGACCAGACAGACCATCCACTGTTGGCGATAACGCTCATCTTGGCATTGCTCTGGCTCTACAAAATTGTTTCGTGCCGTCGGAGCCATGCCGACGTACTGCTGTACGGAAAACACGACCGATTCCGATTATGACATCATGCCTGCCCGTCGAGGGATACACGATGTTGCTCCTCCACACCTGGAGAACACCATATCCATGACGACGTACTTCTTCCGACTACCGACAACTGTTGCAGCAGGAACACCATCAACGGCGACGTGTTTCTTGGACTACCGAAGTCTACTCCAGGGCCATCACACCCGCACCCCGAACAATGTCATGTCGCATCCAGAACGCCCGCGTCCCCTCGTCTGGACAAATTTGCGTTACCATCGCCTCGTGGCCACACAAGCCCTTACTGACAACGACGACACAACTATTGGCAAATCCTGCTGCATGGACGCCGCCATGCTCATCATCATGGCACTCCCCACCAATAAATTCATCATCTTCCCCCAACGACCCACAAAACGTGGAAATATTTCACACCATGAAACAGGACATGACGACAGCGACGACAGGACATTTCGGTGTGTTCTCCGTAGACGATATCTCCGCAAGAGCAGATGCACATCACATCATGACAAAACAACAAACTCGTACCGAAGCGACACGCACCCTCCTCGGGAAGCATCCCACACCACTATCATCCCGAGTACTTGGATATTTGATAGAAAGCCGTAGGCCTTCAGAAATACCCTTCAACGATGTTCTCCGAAGCATGACATACCGATACGACGAATGGGATTTCGGTCTTGCGACAAGGGATGTTTGTTTTGTCGCTGTCACGCCGAAGGGCAAGCAAAAACTATTGTACTATGGATAATTCTACTAGGCCATTTTGCGTGGCCAGCGTTCACTGCAAACAAACCACTTGAACGAAAAGCAGAGAACTATCCGTCGGAGCAAGTTTGCAGGAATTTTTAATCGGCGAATCCGATCTTCGTCCAACCGACTCCCCTTTTTTTTTTTGTAAAATAGGGGGAAAAAAGCTTTGTTTCCCTTTCCGTGGATTCGCTCTTCGATCAGCCGAAGCGCGGCCTTCCACCCTCACCTCACGTCAGCTCGCCAATCCTCCCCCCTTTCTAGCCACTTCCTCCAGACCAGGCGCCAACCATTCCCACTCCCCAAAGACCGACATGATCACCTCGGCCTAGCCCAGAGCACAGCTTAAACTCCACAGACGAAGAGCGTCAAACGATCCGGCGCCTTCGTTTAGCATCACATTCTCCCTGCATGGCCTTCCGCCAAAAGCCGTCTCCGGCATGTAGGTTCTCCTTGGCCCCTACCCCTCCTTCCTTCTCTCCCCCAGCCTGTCGCCTACCCCCTCCCCTCTCTATCATTCATCCTCCCTCCTCCAAGCAACAACTTAGAACCGAGCCAACCCGTTAATCCCGGGGACGCTCCACCAGCGTCCCCGCCGCCGCCCAATCCAAATCAAGCCACCCGCGGGGGAAACCCGAAGGCGTTGTTTCTCCCTCCTTCAGTTACCGCGGAAGCGGCGGGGGCATCGTTGGCGGGGGCGGCGGGGGCGGCACATCCCCTTCCTCTTCGTCGTCAGCAGGCGGCGGCGGCGGCGGCGGAGGGTTCCCCGGAGGCAACGGCGGCAGCGACTGCATCTGCGCGCCCCCCCTGCCGCCGCCCCTGCCGGACACCTGCGGGCCGATGTTGGAGATGGGGCCGGTCCGTTGGGCAGTTCTCGGGGTGTTTATTTGCTTCTGGAGAGCGGCCTGTCGGGCCGCGGTGGCCGTGGCGATGTTGCCGTCCCAGAGCACGCGGGTCACCTCCTCCTTCCGCTTCTTGCGCGCGTTTGATTCGTTGAGCAGCTGCTGCTCTTCGTCCTGGATGAAGCATTGGGGCGGGCGGGCGGGTGGACGAAAGGGTCTAAGCACGTTGAAATGGGAAACACAGAACGAGCACTTCTGAGGCGGATTTTTTGTGATGAGCAGGCTAAGGGAAATAGAGCTGTGTTCGTTGCCCCTTGGGCATCACGACTAGCCTGCCACCATGCTGCACAGCCCACCAATTGCTGTAGACGAGACCGCGTTTCCGAACCGACACCAACCGAATCTATTCAACGTACGTGCACAGCATTCCTTCCAATCATGTGAGTATTGGACCGCGAAATATTCTAAACATGTACTCTTGTTACAACGTTGCCACCATGCTGTTTGGAGATGCTCCTTGACTTGAAAACATACATCCGCATCAGCAACACAAGCAAAATTGCTCACTCCCATGGGTCCCCCGTTCCCCTCTCAAGTTCAAGACAACAGGAACGAGAGAGTAAACAGCAACAGCAGCAGCAGCCCCGCCTAACCCTAACCCCAATAAGAACGAGAAAGCAAACAACAGCAGCAGCAGCAGCATCAGCCCCTACCCTGACCCCAACAAGCATGAGATAGCGAACAGCAGCAGCAGCAGCAGCAGCCCCCAAAGACTCACCTCCGCCGACCCGAAGATATCCCCGCGCTTCCTCGCCAGCGACTTGAGCGACGCCGCGATAGATTCTCCCTCCGCGAGAGCGGTGTCCTTCTGCTTCGCCGCCGCTCTCGCCTGCTCCTCCCTCCACTTCGGGTCCATGAGCTGGATCCGCATGTGATCCGACAGCTCTGACGCGGCCACCGTCGCCCCCGTGATGGGGTCGATGACCATGGTTGGCAAGGCCGTGGCGGAGCCCGTGGCGACTCCCGGCTTGTAGTCGGTGACCACGTGGATGTCATCATCCTGTTTATCATGAAAACGAGGCGGTATCGTCGTGAAAAGAGAGGGGTTATATTTTTAATAGAAAATATACATAAAAAAAAATACAGAAACACTACCTGTTCGAGGGGTAACCACAGTCTATGTTCATGAAAGAGGAAAGGCCAAGGGGGGTCAAGAGTAGTTCATGCAGGACTGAAGGTTGCCGCCGACATGTGCCTCCCTTCCCCCCTTGTCCGTGCTTGTCTCTCCCTCCTTCGTAATCGGAATAGAGAGAGAGAGAGAGAGAGAGCTCACCATGTTGAACGGAAAAGCAGAAGGGCATAGACTTGGCTTTGCCGTCCCAACCAAACAATCGCTCGACGTACGAACAACACATGTTCGCCTTGCCCACCCGGAGCTCGCCTCCATGTATGTATGCATACATCAAACCGAGTTATACGCGATGCGTGCGCACAACAAGCACGCACCAGACAACGAAAACAAGACGGATGTCATTTTGTAAGGGGGGCATACTCATGCCCTAGCGGTAAGGCCATTGACCACGCGTCCTCGAGAAAGCTCGCGGACACACCCAGCAACCATTAAACAGCCGCACTCACCTCGCCGTGCTGGGGCGGCGGCGGCGGGCCGGGCGGCAGGGGCGGCGGCGGAACTTCGTCATCGTCCTGGTCGCTATCGTCCATGTCCATGTCCATGTCCTCGTCATCATCCTCCTCTGCCTCCGGCTGTTGTTTGATATGGTAAGAATCACAGCACGGGAGGGGGGGTGGGAGGGGGTGGGCGACACACGCGCGTATTATGTATCAATTTCGATTACAAAGCGGTTATGGTTGGTAATACCAGGGGGCGGCCCTGGGAATGGCGACCGGGGAACATGCAATAAAAAAGGGGGCGAGGTGTTATCTACCTCTGTCTTGTGTCTTGGGCACCAAGGGTGTCGACATGGGGATGGCGTGATTGTACATTAACCAACATTTTCATGTGTCCATCCGACTAATATGAGGCGGGGACTGAGTGGCCAGGCCGTTTTGCCTTCGAAGTGAAGCACCGCCACCGCAATAGCAGCGTGCCCGTCGTTTTAGAAAAGAAGATAGAGCAACAAAAAAGCGAGATTGGTACTCGTGACGTCGGTGGAGGGACGTGTAGTGTAAAATTAAGCAATCCACCTGGCAAAACAGCAGGTCTCTGGACTGTTTGCTGACTGATTTGTCCACAATAAAGTCCTCTCTCACCAGTAGGTTAGGCTTGATTGGAGCCAGGTCAACCTCCGGCTCGGGGGCGGGAGGTGGCGGTAGCTCTATTCCATCCTCCGCAATGTCTAGTCCCTCCAATGGCTCCACAAGCTCGTCATCTGGGAATTCAATCGTCTGGAGACGAGCAAAAACAAAAACAACATCGGAAGGTTGAATGTGTACGATGGTCGTATTTGGAATGGCCGAAGGTGCATCATCTGCAGACAGACAAAAAAACAACGGCAGCAGTGAGTGTTAGGTATGGATGATGGTCGCATTTCGAATGCCAAAAGTTGCGTCCATTTTTTGTGTACGGTACGGTATACGCTACGAGGGTCTTTCTCTGTCCTCGTGACAGAAACCATGGGATGTTCAACATCATGGATTGTCAATCATGGCACTTCGACACAAAACGGGCAGGGAAAGAGGGTACGTGCAATTTAGGACAGCAACAAGTATGCGCGTCGTCCTACTTCGCAACCAACACGTCGTGCCCCTCGGGCCAAAACCGAGTGCCCCCAACAACAATGACAGGGAAAAAACTTCCCGACACGACACCACACGACTCAAGTGCGTCGCCCCTCCCCGCCACCCACAGCATTAGCCGGTCGATCACTCACATGAAACCGGGCCTACTAATATTGTATCTGCATCTCTGTCCAGCTCACCTCACCCCCCGCCCAACATTTGGAGTCGCCTTTGGAAGGAACATTTAGCCACCGGTGATCACTCCAGTGGGAACAACGCTTCGCCCTCTCGAGGCCACGTCGTCAACGGCCCAACCGCTAAGGCATGCAACACATGAGCCCCCCCCCCCCCCCCTTT